TTAACCCTAAAGGCTATAAGACTGTCTGAGACCTTAAGCGGGAGACTATATTCACTAGTGATTGCGACGGTATATAGTTAGTACGGACAAACGAGAGTGACTAGCCGAGATATAGTGTTCTCCTAAATATACCTAGTACCTACGAGGAATACTATTAGACTAATATATAGGAGATACGGCGATACTTTAGATACTACTGTGATCACAGAAGGTGGTTACCTAATATATATACTGGTGCAACGGATCTCTCGGCACCGAGAGATCTCGTTATGGCTTTTAGCCTATGGGTTAAGCGCGAGCACCAGCGTGTGAGATCTCACTACTAAAGATATAGCCTATCTAATTAAATACGGTAGCCGAGTAAGGGTACCTTAGTATCCGATAGCTATAGCACTCCACTATATAGATAATATTAATATAAATAATTCTGTATTATAAATTATAAGAAGAGGAAGTGGCCTCGACAAAAAAAAAAGAAAAAAAAGAATTATTAAAGAAATATAATTAAAAGTAAAGCGTATAGAGTTAGTAGTTCTTTTCGGCCGAAAAGCTATCTCTTTTCTATAAGTAAATAATAGTATATTATACGTAAGGTATAATAGCTCCTAAGCTATCGGACCCTAAGGGTATTCTAACCTTTATAGATTACCATAAATCTATACTAGAAAGATCTGAATCGACCCTAAGTAATAATAATTATATAGATAATATAGATTATAAGTATTAGCTACTATTGGAATATAGACCAATGCTACATAGAAAGATCTATCCTTATATTCAACATATAAGATCAGATTGCATTGATCACGTGACCGGATTTTTCTTCTATCAAAATGATATTTTGACCACTTCCGATCCTGGTCCGCGGCCCTCCCCCGAACGATAGGCGGGACCATTTTCCTTCAGGGGTAAATAGTCCGCCTTCAGGTATGAATGATCCGTTCCTCCGGGGGTGCCTTCGGGTATGCCTTGCCCGCGGACTTCGACCATGGTCTTTGGATCTCGGTGAACAAACTTCGACCCTCGGCCCCCTTAAGGATAGGCGGACCACTTTCCCTTAAGGATAAAATGGTCCACCTTTGGGAATGCATAGCCTGATACTGCGGGGAAGCTTTCGGGGTGGCTTAAACCGTCGATCCTTGACATCATTCTTTTCGCTTTTCTTTGGTTTCCTTCTTTGCCACCTCCATTGTGTTGCTGCCTAGTATTTGTATGTCATTCTAGACGTCATTTCTAGGCTATTCTAGCCTATAAATATGTCCTTCTTTTCTAGCAGAAAGAATCAAGTCAGTTCTACTTTCCTGAAGTCATTTTCCACTTTCCAAAGTTATCTCTACCTTCTTCCTTTGATCCTTAGGACTGTGGTTCTGCCTTCGTTTAGGCTATATCTGCTTATAGTCTATCCTACGACCTTTGACCTTCTACCTTTGTCTGGCACCGACTGACCTAGCCGGACTAAGGTTGATCCCACGGACTTAAGGGGCCACGAAGTGCTTCGTGGTAGCTTTACCCTTATAGCCCGACAATAAGGAAGAACTATAGAGAGGCTTAGAAGAGTATAAGGAGTTCTAGAGAAGGTAATCTAAAGGCTAAAGGATATAAGTATAATATGCCTAGGATAAATCATATCTAATTATAAATAAGCTAAAAGTTATTAAAGTATAGAGAGAATAGTAAGCGAATACCTTCTTCGGTTACTTAACTACTTACTTAATAATAGAGCTAGAGAGTAAGTTTATTACTATTACTCTTAGCTATAATTATATTGTCAGCATATTCAAGGACTGTCAGCATTACCTTTGTCAGCATTATCAAGGACTGTCAGCATTACCTTTAGTCATCCAAGAAGACTATGATCTTTATAATTGGTCAGGTAAATACGAAAAGCCACCTAATTATAATAGGTCTATTAAAAGGTGTTCTATGGATAGACTATTAATGATGCCTTGACAATAGGTCTAGACTAAGAATGATGCCTAGACTATAATTGATTTCAAAGCAAGACAGGCCTAGACTTAAAACAATACAAGTCTAATATAGGCCTAGAATATTGTTGATTGGATATAAATATGTCCGCAATTCCCTACAAGAAAATTATAATTCTTCTTCAATCATCATATCATACCCTGAGGTTTCCTATTAAGGAAATATTCTTTTATTCATCGAAGGATAAAAGACTTGATCTCCCATTAGATCTCCCACTGGATCTCCCACATATATCCGCCTCTTTATTAATAATAAAGTTCTCTCTCACTTATTGTTATTAGGTAGAGATATCTAAAATACTAAAAGAGTTATTTAAAGGGATCTTTTAAAGGCCTTTCTCCGGAAGTGTACCTTAGCCCTTAGATAAGAGAATCTTATTTAGTATAAATTATAATTAGACTAAGATAGGTACTACTACAAAGTAGGCTTTAGCTAAGATTTACCCACTATTAAACCGGGAGGCTAGACTACTCTTTTAGGATAGTTTATTTCTATTACTATAGTTAAGATAGAGAATAAGGCTAATACTAATATTAAAGCGATAGATAACCGTGATCCTAAGAGTATTATACCTAATAATATATATAATATAGCGATATAACTTAAAGAGTTAGATAAGGAATATATAGCCGACCTAATATCTATTAGCGACTTATCTAATATAGTCTTTAATCTTTCTATAGCTTAGTCACTTCCTAATAAAATTATCTATTAAAAAATAATAAAGAATATAACCCCTTATAGGAGAGAAAGGAGACTACTAAATAGTTATATCGCCTAGAGAGTAGCTATAAATAAGACCCTGGCCCCTTTTACGGATACTATAAATAGATAAAAGTTAGTAATACTTAGGCGTATTAGAAAGCTATCTCTTCCGGAACTAGATTCGACCTTTACTAAGAATATAATTTATCTATCTTATATAAAGAGAGTGTTTAAATTATTCAATATATATAGTATTAGTAAGGACTATATAGCACTAACGATATAAATTAATTGTATTTACTAACACACTAAGGACTAAGATACTATAATAAAGGAGAACCGGATATAGTTTATATTAGATATTGTCGGGAATAAAAGGGTAAAGCTACCACGAAGCAGATCGTGGCCCCTTAAGTCCGTGAGATCAACCTTAGTCCGGCTAGGTCAGTCGGTGCCAGACAAAGGTAGAAGGTCAAAGGTCGTAGGATAGACTATAAGCAGATATAGCCTAAACGAAGGCAGAACCACAGTCCTGAGGATCAAAGGAAGAAGGTAGAGATGACTTTGGAAAGTGGACAATGACTTGATTCTATCTGCTAGGAAAGAAGGACGTATTTATAGGCTAGGATAGCCTAGAAATGACGTCTAGAATGACATATAAATGACATACAAACACTAGGCAGCAACATAATGAAGGTGGCAAAGAAGGGAACCGAAGAGAAGCGAAAAGAATGATGTCAAGGATCGACGGTCTAAGCCACCACGAAAGCACCCCCGCAGGATCAGGCTATGCATGCCTGAAGGTGGACCATTTTACCCCTAAGGGAAAGTGGTCCGCCTATCCTTAAGGGGACCGAGGGTCAAAGTCTGTTCACCGAGGTCCGAAGACCATGGTCGAAGTCCGCGGGCAAGGCATGCCCGAAGGCACCCCCGAAGGAACAGACCATTCATGCCTGAAGGCGGACCATTTACCCCTAAAGGAAAATGGTCCCGCCTATCGTTCGGGGGAGGGCCGCGGACCAGAATCAGAAGTGGTCAACATATCATTTTGATAGAAGAAAAATCTGGTCACGTGATCAATGCAATCTGGTCTTATATGTTGAATATAAGGATAGATCTTTCTATGTAGCATTGGTCTATATTCCAATAATTATTAATAGACCTATTATAATTAGGTGGCTTTTCGTATTTACCTAACTAATTATAAAGATCATAGTCTTCTTGAATGACTAAAAGTAATGCTGACAGTCCTTAAATATGCTGACAGTCTATATTCCAATGGTAGGTAATAGGGTTTTAATAATATTAGTAATAGTACAGCCCACTATACGCTAATAAAATAATTCCCTAACTTTAAATCCGCATAATAATCTCTTTAAAACGTTATATAGCCTTATAACTTAGGATAATAAATAATTAACCATTTAATTAGAATTAAACAAAATTTAAACGGAAAAAAACCATAGGAACGTAACTATAATAGCACTCTAAAACTAACTATAATCCGCCCCTTCGGGAAACCCTAAGTATATGCAAAAAATTGCTAACTAAACTGTAATGCGCCTTATTAAATTTACCCCTATAGGGTAAACTAACTAGAATACACTCACTAGCGCTATTTTCTCCTATAGTAAAGCCAAAACCCTAACTGGAATGCATTGCGTTCCACCAACCCCTATGGGGTAGGATAGTTAGAACTAAATGAATTGTAGATTCACAACTCTTGAACTTATACAGACAGGCTGATACAAAATACAAAGCCAAAACCCTCACGTAGTACTCAAGGTCACGATTGTACGTATAGACGGTCACATGGCCATATACGGGCATGGGCCCGTTACAGTGGGATAATTTACCAGGCCTTGCTTAGGCCTCAGATAGACCTCAGTAGGGACTTTTCCCTTTGCAAAGTAAGGGTCGAGCGAAACTTTCAGAAGAGAATCTTCCCTGAAACCTTAAATATTCTGCATTCTGCTAAACTCTTGATTGCATAGCCATACTGCAGTTCAGAAGCGACGAGCAACAGATAAAGCACAAGCCTTAGAAGCACGAAACACTAGAGTGGTCAGAAAAGTGAAGGTCCTAACAGTGCAAACATTGACCAGCAATAATAAGACAGAGAAATAGGTGCAGAATGCATTGAAGAGAAAAGAGCGGCTTCCTCTTCCGTAGAAGATACGATAAGCATTTGCATTAATGCCAGTGATATAGGCTCCGAATTCCTGTCCATCACAGTCAGTAATCTCAAAGTAGGAAGTATTGCCTTTCTTTACAGACCATTTCCTGCGTAATCATAAAGCGAATATCGTTTAACAGGCCGTGGGATACCATGGCGCATCCGCCTTGCAGTAGTCCAAGAACTTCTGCATATTTTCACCGTTCTTAAGGTAGCAGTAATCCTCAGCTGCGCCATAGCAATAGCACATACTTGCGCCATTACTTATTTCTGCGCAGATCTCGGCAGTTTTAGAGTAGTCACCATCTTTATTTCCCTGGGGATGCTTGCATCGATAGGCAGGGTCACTGCAGGCAGAGACAGCCGCAGTAAATATAACCAAGGTAGTTAAAAGCTTCATGATGATGAAGATGGTGAAGAAGATAGCTAACTGCTCTCGAAAATTAGGGTGGTAATGTTCGCGTGCTGTGTAGTCTGTATCAGGATATGTAGGTTGCTTCCCGGGACTGGGACAGGTGGCCAGATTTATAGTGTGTCCTTCCCATAAAAGAGCAATATCACTCATACTAGCTAAGCCTGGATAGGCGCAATAAGGCGCAATAAGGCGGCATAGTGTAGAATAATCGCGGAGGCTCACAGTCCAAAAGAATCGGTAAGGTATCTAAATGCAGCCTGTTCTGACAAGGATCACTAGAAATGCGGCAGTGGTATGAGCCATAAGGCCCGTGGCGGCCCGAATTGGCGTGCTGAACTCTTACATTCACGTCGAGCGCCTCACAGGGCGGAGAAAGTCTTGCGCCCGACTGACGTCGTAGCGATACCTAGGTTGATCTTGTCGCCCAGGGAGCAAATCTTGAGCCTGGTGGGCACCTGTACTCTCCTCTGGATAGCAAAATATCCCACAGCTAAACAGGCTTACAATGACTGTCTTGGGCAATTACGAATAAGTAGCATGAAAATTGTGGAGTAGTACCACTCTAGGAGTCATTAAGATGGCAGAAGACTAGGCCTTGCTCTAGGCTGAACGTAGAAAGCTACGGACCAATATGCTCTCATTCGGGGTTGGCAAGATTGCCTGAATAACCAACACTACTGTAAGACGACCAAAGCTGGAAATTTAACCGGTCTCTAGAGCATGCCATGGTGTACCGTACGTGAGGGCGATGAGTGTGAGCCTTTTACCACGTGAGTCCAACTCGTGATATGAAAGTCACACGATCACACTATACCAGGAATGAAACCAAAGTGCGGGGTAATATTCCTGATTCCGGCGGTGGGTCGGGCCGTTAGCCTTTAACGCTGGCTGAAAGCGGGACCCCTTGAATTACCTGGGAGGCGCGGGGCGGGTGTCCCCGAATTACCGCTTGAATCCACAATCCACGAGCCTTTATACATGTCGGCAAGTCACCTGAGGACATGAAGACAGTGTAACATCACCCACACTATCAGACGTCAGGACGTTTGCCTTGAGTAAAGTTCGCGAAGACAAAAGTACGATGACAGCTTTTTTGGATAAACTTGGACATCTTTCGTTGATTATGAAAAAAAATGCAGATGCTGGTACCTTCGAGCAGCTCGCATTATGTGTCATTAATCACATATGAGCCTCGAACGGACCAATGCATAAACACGACGAAAAAGGAGGACTTCACGATGAATGACGATTGGCAGCGACCGGATTGTCTCGGTGGACTCTGCGAACGTGTTCCTTCATATTGTCACGTCTGTTGAACCACTTTTGGCAACCAGCGGCTGAACAAAAGTGGATGTCTTTGCAAATATGTACTGTCTTCAAGTGCCGCAATAAATCACCCTCTCTTCCGAAGGTACCTGTATATTTGCATCCCTCCCACCTACACCTAAGCTCTGCACCATGACTAAGGACAATATTTAGAGATTCAGAAAGACCCCGAAAACATCGAGGAGAGAGGTGGCAGCTCACATTTTTGCACGGTCTTGAAGATATAACCTATTTCGAGACTCCGCATTGCTACAGCCTGACACATCGGCTAAATATGGCACTGCAGAATCCGATTTGGCCTCTTCAGGGACCTGGTGGTTGGACGCCCGTTCTATCCCGCCATCGGTGTTGAGCTCATGGACCCCGTAGATAGAGCTAATGCCACTGATATGTTGTGTCGTAGAGCCAGAATCATCATGTATCTGGATATTCTCAATTGCTTGGAACTGTGATGGATCATTAACGTTAATTTCAGCGCCCATATTGTTGGGGTGCGGAGACAAAATGGCGGACAAATGTCTCGGTGTATCGCTCAGAAAGCATTGAGAGATGTCCACTACTGTTGGGGCTCCTAGGAGAATGTCCATTTCCGATAGACTGAGGTACGCGTAGTCAGGAACGTATTGACTAGCCTCCAAATTAGTCCGATGCAAAGCAGACATGTTGCCGCGAGGTAGTTGAACTAAAATAATAAACCGAGGAATGTAGGTTAAGTAGCAGTGCTAGTACATGTGCAACACCTCAGTCTACTTAAATAGAATGGGTTCTTACAATATTTTGACATTTACCCGTTATTCCTCAGGACTGGTACAAAGAGTGGTTTTCCAAACGCGCCTGTGACTAAGGAGCTGCGAATGCAGTTTATGGCCCAAGATCGATTATTCCCCGCCCACTAGTGACGTCTTACATTGATCTCACTACTGTCAGAGGGATCGGAGGGCTCCCTTCCAAGAAAACAAAATAAGCATAAAACCCTCAAGATGATGTGTTCAAATCTCTAAGGTCAGGATACAATACTACCCTAGGTCAACAGAAGTACCTTGATTATTCTACCTACTTCGTTGAATACTGTCTTTATTCTCTGGGGTCAAACATGATATTATGCACTTCTCTTCGTCATGAGTCAATGAGGACAGTAAGCTCTGTTCAAAGCATTGCGATTTCAGTAGGGGATGGAACTTGAGGTTCTTTGAAAGACGAGATGAATGGTTAAGGCAGGGCCGTCACGATCGCGTTGAAAGTGTCACTAGTAAGCGGCTCCCTTCCACGGAAAGATTCCATTTCAGCAACCTCTTATGCCTCGAACTTGTGCCGTGCGCCGTGTGCCTTATTACGTTCGCGTTCCGCAAAATCAAGTTGAAAGAAACGCCACCCACGTACTACAACTTATATTCTTTTTACTACGTATTATTCCAACTTCAGCCTGTCTCCCCATTGAGGACAAGATGGACTATTCCCTTCATGGGCATAATCTCAGGCTGCGCCTGATTATTGTATCATCGTGACCCGATTGTCTGTCAGAAAAAATCATGGATCCTCGCCTGTATGCTGGGCCTGAGTCTCGGTCACTTGCTTCCCAGGAGTCCCATTTATGATGCGAACATTAGTCTGCCTTTCTGTGAAGTCCAAACTATAAAGGCATCTAGGCAGGTCTACTTTCAGCCTGTCAACTTAGGAGAATTGATTCCTTAATTGAGGAACCATCTGAGTTAACAAAGTTTCCCTCTTAAGTGCCATTCTGCAGGCAAGCATAACATGTCTGGCTACGTTGAAGGTGACTAGGCTCCTAAACCTGTGATTCGCTCTTGACTCTCACATTCGTGGACTCTTAGGCGCCGTTGTCAAACTTAACCAGCCAGCAAATGGCATCTATTACGCCACGCAGATATCTGATGCAGAAGCCGTTGCATCTTCTCTTAAAGCTGTATCCCCCCAGCCCGAAGTCCGTATCAACTTTGGGCCAATCAGCTTTCTTGAAGTTCTCACTGTAAGGCTGGAACTAAGCTCTTTTTTAACACTGCAATATCTGTTTTCTTACACCATGCTACTGAATAGGTGTCTGGCTTCGTCGATACTAGCACATACGAAGCCTCCGTATCGGTCTCTGTACTTGGGATCAGTCTCGGCACATTGACCGGAAGCCTCAAGACTGGTATCTCAGTTCAGGTCAACCTAATTGCAGTCAAGGGTGAAATACGATTTTACCTGAAAAATACCAATGAACTCTGGGTGCATTTTGATCTCAGTGTTATTTTCGATGGAAATTATACCGATGATGTTAAAATAATCACTCTATAGTCGCGACACTGGCGCGAAACGGAGTGTGACGAGCAAATAAATGGTATGTTCTGCGTTTCGTCTGATTTTGAAATGGGCCTCAGTATAGGTTTTTTCCTTGCTCTGTTAGGTTTTCCCTATACTGTAATGCAAATGCAGGGGTTCATGCTGTATCTAGCTAGTTACAATTATGATATTTTGAAGAGTCATGTTTCTGTTACCAAGGCCAAAAGTTGTACACGAAGTAGTTGTGTCCAGATTTTGCACATCAGCAAGACATCAAGGAAGTTGTTTCTCATCTTGTGTTAATACGTAATCGCCCAGAGTATTCGAAACAGTATTCTACAGTGTAACTTATGGTGGTCAACGAAACGTAACATCGAATGCCTGAATTCTTGCATTCTTGAATCATAATAAGATTCAACTCGTCTATAAATTGGAATAGCCGGCTTTTCTCGACAAACATCTGGTGTCTACAATATGTAGCACACATACTGTGCGCGGACTCCAAAGAACCTCAATGCCTTCACCCTTTCCAGGAATAGCCTTCTGGTTGTTATTTCTTATACAATGCTATTTGGTAGATGTGGCTACTCTCTTTGGACTGATTCACTCTAGGAATTTCTCGCCGTACGCCTCAAATAGCGGTGCAAGACATACCCAAAAACTTGAAATTAAATTGAAGGAGTGGAGCCCAAACGGGACCCAAGCTTAGTGTATTGATTTATTCGAGCCTCGATCAATCCTAGTCAAACAAATTGATCCACTGTCGCGCCTTGTCCAATTGGCGGATTGAAGTCACGTTCTGAAGCGCTTGATCCTGCTTGAGAGGCAATTTATTAGGCTGGGTAAGGCGCAAGAACGTGAGCCCGAGGCCTTGATTTAAACTGGTTGATACGAATTTCCTGGCGATTTTCGACCAATCTGATATCGTCGGTGTATCAACTGCCGTCATCAACGTGTGGAAGGCCGGCAGTGTGCAACGCCCAAAGAAACCGATGTGCGGTACTCTTTCTCCAATTACTTCACAAGGATTTTGGCTCCAGGCCTTGGTCTTGAGATATATATAACCAGTTCGAGGACTTTTCTCCAACACCAAAGCAATCCAACCTGAGGCTACGACCTTTGCAGAGATTACTAATTGGTTCTTAAAAGTTAACTAGTCACGCCCGGCTATTTTCTTTGTCCAGCAATGCTTCTTGCAATTTTCCCTTACAGCACTCTGCTATCCTCCAGCTTTTTGCTTTTCGCAGTGCTGGCTGCAGGTGCGAACAGGCGAGGTCGAGGTCAGCATAACCCTACACCCACGTTTCTTCTAATATTAACATTTTGTGTAGATGTTTCCGCTGGGATTGTAGATAATTTCACACTGTTTTCTGAATATCCTGCTGCGGCTACTTGTCAAACAAAATTTGACTCACAAAGGAAACATGTTGCGTGCGATCCAGGGGTATGCCCGACTCTGGAGCAGACCGACACTACCATAATAACTGGATTCGAGAAGTATGGCGCCCGCCAAGCAGGCTTGGACTTACAGGCTAATGTCATATAGGCTTCGCCCAGGTGGTACCACTGGCTTCCTAGAAGTTGACAGGACCAATAAGCTGATAGTTTTGTCGTTCCGAGGTACCCGTACGCCAGGGAATGTCGTCACAGACTTGCAATATCAGCAGGTGCCTATCCATGAAATTTGTCCAAATTGCCAAGTGCATCGTGGGTTCTATTATACCTGGGGAAATTTTTCGGAATTCATAATGCCGTGGATCAGCCATGCAACTGCCAAATACCCAGACTATGATCTCGTCTTCACTGGCCATAGCCTTGGAGGCGCCCTTGCTACAGTTGGGGCAGTACTTGAGGGAAGTGCAAATAGAACCATTGGCCTGGTAAGTGTCCCAACGATGCCAACTTGTTAACATACATCTGGATAAGGTGCTGATGAGCAATTAGTATTCTTTTGGATGTCCTCAATTGGGAAATTATAATTTTGCTAAATTTGTCACCGACCACACATCAGGTACTGGATACAGAGTGACACATTTGGATGATCCGGTACCCAGGATTCTATCTACAACTTCTGAGGTCAACAAGACTTGGGAGTATAGTACAACATCCCCAGAGTACTGGATTACTTCTGCAAATGGTGCACCTGTAATGGTCACCGATATCGAACTGATTGTGGGCATCGATAACAAGAGTGGAAATCTCGGCCAAACTACCTTCAATCTCGCAGCCCATAATTGGTACATTGGTAATATGAGTGGGTGTTCAATGTGACGATTCACATAAGATGTCATGTTTTATTGATGCCTAGTGCGTCAGGCTGATATCAGATCTATATGTTTACCAAGTGGTATTTTTGACTCAATTCTCTATCTCGTTAATTTGCTCCATGCATCAGTTTGGGCAGGGCTTCACGAGGGTAATCTCCCTCATAGTCTATACCTACAATCGTGACCTTAAGCCACCGCACTACGGTAAGGGTTTAGCTTTAGTTTTTCATGAAAGGTCTAAAGATTCTACATATATATTCACATTATTTTTAGCTACACTACTTATTAAAATATTCGTCCGTACCCTTAGCGAATTCTATTAATTCTACCTCAGGATAATAAAAGTGGGTCCGGCGTATAGAAAGACTGCCTTCTTAGATAGGTTATTTTTATCTAGTAGGCAAAAACCGACACAAACGATACGCTTATATAAGCGAAATTAAGTTATATTATATTTTTCCCTATAAGCGAAAGTGCTTCAGATAATATATATTTAATTAAAATGTTTTTATCTATTTCATTAAATTTTATAGAGGGGTTTAAAGTTACTATCCTTGAGCGGGTATAGTCTATACCTACAATTAGACCTAGCACTCACCCGCCCCGCGGGTCCAAGATCAGGAACCTCCACCCGACCCTTAAGGTCTCAAAACAGACCCTCCACCCGCCAAGACGAGGTGCGGGTGGAGGGTCCGGAGGGTCACCCCCGGTGAGGGCCAGGTCTAGGTGGGCGGGAAGACGGTGTGGGAGGGAAGGTGGTGGAATATGTTATGTATCGCAAAAATTTTCGCGGATACGAATGGGCAAAATCCTTATTCGTGTCCAGCCCTAGATAAGTATGCTGAGCTTATGGAAGATTTCTTGACGAAATATAACACCGATGAGCGTATGGGTCGCCGGAGGGCGCAATTGTGAGCTAATGAGACAACAAGAAATTTAATTCATCTGGATGTCCACACTAGATTTTCAAGTCCTCAATTTGATAAAATACACAGTCTGTGCAGAGCCAGATCACGCTTGTATGTGTCGTGGCTGCATCAATATGAACTGCACGTTCCAACCGGTAAGGGCGAAATTGTCGTTCTGTAGTGGTGATGATATTCCCAGGGAAGTTTTCAGAGAGCGAAAGCAGTTCTGTTAAACTTGCTAACAGTGGCCACGAGGGGGCAGGCCATCCGTGGTTGTCACACGGTCTTGATATGTCTTTTCGGCAAAGACGATGAACCGGTCCACATCCGCCGCGGTGGACGCGAGGCCGAAGGAGACGCGAATGGCGCCTGCTGACGGGAGGCCGACCAGCTGGACATACTCGTCCATAGAGCTAGGTCGGCGTCGTCGTAAGGGGCGCAGAGCTGCCACGTCGAGGCCGAAGGCGTCCTCGGCCCCTCCTGGATTGCAAAAGCAACCCGTGCGCAAGGAAATCCTCATCATCGCCGCGTCGATGTCCACCAGTCGCTCATCGATCACCTTGCCCTTCGCATCGAGGAAGTTGAAACAGACAGTGCCACCACGCATTTTGGTGCTGGTCGGGCCGTAGATCCTGACCATCGGCCTGCCGTCACTGTGTTCGAGATGTTTCAGGCGATCGAGGAACCAGCCGGTCAGGCAGCGCACCCGGGTCTCAATCAACGGCATCCCGATATCTGCCAGCCAGTCTAATCCGAAATGCACATCTGGAATCGACAGAAAATTGAGTGTGCCATCCTCAAACGCGCTCTCATTTGGTGCCATCGTGTGCCTTTGGATCCCCACATTGACGTCTTGAATAGTGCCGCCGGAGAACCATGGACGGGCGAGGCGCTCCAACGCATCCCGCCTAGCGATGAGGCATCCGAGCCCAGTTGGGTAGCCAAACAACTTGTACCAGCTCAATATCACAAATTCGGGCTTGACAGTGGAGAGGTCCAGCGTCCCCGTCGGCAAGTAGGCGGCCGCATCCAGCAGTACGTCATAGCCCCGCTCCTGGGCCAGGCTGACCCACGACAGCGGATGCCGGACCCCGCTGAAGTTGCTCTGCGCCGGGAACGCGAATAGGCCATTTCGACAAGAAGACGCCGGCCGGAACAAGCGCCGTCGGCGTGACAGTGCTGACACCAGTGCCGCTGTGTTCACTCGCAGTTCCGGCGCCTGCGCAGGCACGTAGACCGTGCGCGCATGGCGGCGACGGGCAAACTCCCGGATTCCATTGACCGAGTTGTGGTTGTCAAACGTTAAGACGAATCTCATGCGTCTCCGGAATAGGTATGCTTCGCCGACCAGCCGTGCCGCCCGGTAGCATTCGGGGTGAAGATGACCGTGTATTCGTTCGGGGACGCATTGAGGTGTTTGAGCACCCGGGCCCGGGCAAGCTCCACCAACTTGGTGGATGCCTTGCTCGTGGGGTTGATCGAGTGCGGGTTGCCGAACGGCGAGCGCCTCAAGCGTTTCTCATGAGCACGATATTGCGTGCGCGCTGCGAGCCCGGCGCCCGTGTAGTCCAGGTACACTTGGTCTTGCTCGTCGAGGTAGCCGTATTCAGTGGCACGCAGCTCATCTAGCCGGACGGTCTTGCGATACTCTGGGTACACGTCTAGAATGCTGCCCATTATGCCTGAGAATTGAGGCGGGAATGCTTGCGGTCAGTGTATCTGGAGGACCACTCTGGTCGGCCGGTTAGCGGTCAATGAATCTGCTTTGGGGTTCAAGACGCCCTTCGAGTCCCTGTGGAAAGCCCTTGACGTTACTAACCAAGAAAATGAAATCCTGTTCTTTGGCAGAGGCGTGCTTTTGAGAGGGTGGGAGGTTGAGAAGAAGCCAAATGGACTATGCATTTGAAATGCAGGACGTGTCCTGCTTTTATGCTTTTAACAAGATAAAGCAATTTAGCAGGATGCCAATTCGACATCATTGCTGTGTGTAATGCAGCTGTTTACGGCAATACGAATAAGGTCACAGACTAGCTAGCCCCAGCAAAATTCTCAGCTAGCCAGAAGAACTATTTTCTAGATCATCTAGTCTACTCTTTCATTTGTCCCAGCGTTGGCTCTCGGTACCTGGTGTTTGTGAATGTCTCACTCTTTCGAAAGAAGCTTAGCTAGAGCCTATGAAAATTTGGTCTGATAATTAAAAATTAAATTGAAGTTAGCTGGCTGGTTGGGGACTCTGCTCGGGCTGGCCGGCCTGACGACTGAATGTCCATAAGCCTCTACTGGTGCTTAGACCAATACCGGACTTCCGCTCTAAGAGCGGGATAACTAACCAGTAGCAGAATCCATTGATACCTAAATGGTATCGCATCGCAGACTTTAGCTAGTCCTCTTAGAGGCGATGACGGCGTCGCAGGTGGTGATATGTGACGTGAGCAAAGGTGGTCATAAGGCCCTCCCCACAGCTATATTAACTGGAACAAGTGACATTTTGAGATGCGCCTCAGCTAAAGGACAACCAATGAAAGACGGGTGAGGGCTTAACTGAAATTAACCATAGTTGGACAGCTCAAAGCCAGTCGATCAGCGCCATTGCCACCAGCTCGGCTTAAAATGGAACAGCTTTCTCTGGATATACTGCACTTTAGTAGTCCGCCCAAGTAGAGAGAATTGAGCCACTCACTTATTACGCCACTTTTACCTGATTCCCGACTCTAGAGCCCAGATAATACATGAGTCGTTACCCGCACCCGCCGCATCCGTGAACAGGTTTTTCTAGTCTCGGCGTGACGATATTATATTACGAGAAAGCCAAATTATGATGCACTGCACATGCGAAATGCTCAGCTGTCGTCAGTTTCCATGGGGCTGAGCCTAGAACTCTCCGCCCTCTCAGATGACCCGTATAACATACGGGTCGAATTATCCGAGCTAAGGTTTGGTTTTTGGGCTTTGGGGATGTAGGGACATGGTAGTGCCGCCGTGGGTGGCGCTGGTAGGGATCATTATCACAGTACCCGGCTCGATCGTTGCGTACGATATGGAGCACATAGCATAGGATGGCAGAAAGCCTGCTCCGAGAGAGTGCACTTCCCAATGGAGGGAGCCAAGAGAACAGGGTTGTGTCGGGCAGTACATTTATTCCAGCTGTCTCGTTCTTCAGCAATGACCTCGTGGCATAGACCGGGCGGTGTTACAACTCTGGCATCACAACTTATTGTAGATCGACGGCGTGCATGTAACTTATATCTGCAATACGGCCTCACCGATGTTGGTTGTTGTTCTGTTTACATGTCGAACCTGTAGACCACATGGTCCAATGATAAGTGGTCGCGCCGCGTACTCTGAGGACTCTCTACCTCCAAGCACGGCTAATTGCTGCCATTACAAGAATCTAGCTGGAGCCCGGCTTCTAACTGTATCCTCCTCTGGGTACAAATCGTCTGACGAACTCATCAGTGGTTGGCGTTAGAGCACAAGCCTACTGCTCCACCTACCATCTGGGACGGATGGCTTCGGGTCAGTCCTGGCAAGCATACAATGAGCTCAGCCCTGCTTAGCCCTAAACGAATCCCAGCTATGCACTGTAGTTTGTCGCCAGAGTCAACAGTGACAGTAAAAGGACGGTAGGCTGCACTAAGAATACGCGAGGTGAGAACGGCGATATCCGAGGTTTCCACGTCAGCAAGACAAACCCATGAAGCTCCTTGTTGTGTTGACGGCTATTGGAATATAGTTCAAAGTATCGTAGCACCGCATTCTGTTTTTTTTGTTACCTGGATATTAGGACTTGAGTAAGCGTTGGCATACGCGTAGGAAGATGCACAAGAATTGTCCCTCTCCTTCAAATGTAGGCTGACACTGAGCTGGCATTCTAACTTACGCCTCCACCCTTACTTTTATCTCTGGGACGCCTTATTGTTCCCTCTTACTTGGCCTCTAGACACTTAGCAGAATTTAAATTTCAGTCAAGCGACAAATGAACATGGCAGGCCTTTCCTGGAATGCTTCAGATGCGTCTAGGAGTTCACGCAGCGTGACAAGCACTGCAGGATTAGCATGCAGTACAGAGATCCTCAAGTCGACTTATCTAAACCTTGCTAAGGAAGTAGAGGTCTAATTTCCGTCTTGCCGGTAATCATAGCTGTCGTAAAACCAGCGAGTGGTCTCAAAGTACTGCCCTCAGATGCTCCTCGGCTACCCTAGCCGTTCAAGGTTGACACAGAGAACGCCTCTTGGCGCGTGTCGTATTGTTCATGACCAAAGAAGCACTCGTATGATCAAATTTCTGAGAAACTAGATTTTGTGTTGGATTTTCGAGTTTCTGTGGATGATTGAGGATTTCCAATATGCAGAAATAATAAGGTTCCAGCACATCAGCTTTACCAGCCAAAAATATCCAGCAATTCGAACTTCCATAGCCCTGGATAATCCTACCAGTTTTGTTCTTTCGTGACCAATCTTCTCACCGACAATATACTTTGCTCCCTGCTTGTCTACCTAATCCATATCATATCCTGCAAGCTGAGCAGCACCAACAGCTGGGGTTGGAATCCAGCCTTTGGTTTTGTGATGGCTGGTTGAACAAAGCATCAAGATTCACCAGTCAAATTCTAGTGAGTATTGACTGGCTCTCAACCCACAGAAGCCCAAGTTCTTCGCACGTGTTTCACATCTGGATTCTTGCCTCTGTAACACTTGAGGTCTGGATATAGTACACTCCAACTCGAACTGCCTTTGTAATCTGGGCGAGTTCTGTCTTTTCCTTTACTGTCCTTTGTTTCGTTTTCTTCATAATCCCATATGGAATGGGCTTTTCATGAAGGAAGTCTTTAGCTAAATGTCACACTAGAGCGACAGGCGTTCTAGTTTACTACTAGTCCGTATTGGCTACAACACGTAGATCAGAAGTTAAGGCGGATTCATTGTATTACAGTCCTATTATCACCCTCTAATATGCGAGAGAGCAGAGGAGAGTCACGGGAGGCATAATGCCAGTGTCTCTAACCCTCCATCCCAAATGATAGTCAGGGTCTCTCTGGTCTCTCGCTGCCTGAAGTCTCAAGAACACTTCTCAATCAACGGATTGGACCTCATAAGACCCCCCATTACTCGTTGGTAGAGAAGAGAGTTTTCAGATCTTCCCGTCGGGCAGTCCGAGACACCCTGACGATATTGTGAAGTGCGAGCAGGTTGACGATTGAGTACAGCCGGAAATGCTAATTTATGATCAAATGATGACCCCTGATCCCCGCAGGAATCGGTCTCTCTCTCTGCTCCAACCCAGATTCACCGATCCAGCCGAGTCCTAACACTTGGGAGGGTCCCATCATAGTTAGTCCGCTGACATTAATAGCTCGAGCAAAGCCTCGACACGGAGCAAAAGACAACAACCCAATGATGGATCGATAAGACTCTCGTTAGTTTCCCACATGTCTTGGCGTGAACTGCACTTCGGGGTCTTGCGAGGATTTCTTCTGGCTGGGGATGGCGTAAGCGGGGATGGCATCGGCAGGCAAGAATGGCCGAGGAAGCTCCGAAACACTTATTCGTTGTCCCCCGGAGGGTCTGTGCTGTGCATTTTTTTTTTAACCTTGAGAGATCCCAAATGGAGCCCCCGAATACGGAGGGGGAAGAAAGGAAGGATCAGTGGATAATGTTCCCTATATTGTCTATGATGCGGAACGAGTGTAAGGTGAAGTACTGAATCTTTAAGTATGTTGTTCGGATGATTCTATAGAATATTTGCCGATTCAGGCGAGTAACTAGTTAATTGGGCATTTCTGCAGACTATGCAAGGGCGTCTACTGTCACGGCTGGCTGTTTCACACCATGACTCGTCGGGGACTATAATGTACAGAAAACCCCTGTGGGGCAACAAACACACGATCTCTTTACGAGAGCATCTGAGGCTTAGACACCCCGGAGTATGCCAAAAGGTTATTCGTCCACGTGTTCCTGGCACGTCCTCTCGGTATCCTCCATGACTTCTATGAATTGTGGTCACCGACACGGCCGATCAGACCTTCGAAGTACGCATAGCCGACCAACTAGCGGGCCCAATCTATCCGTGCAACGTGGCAAGGGGATGCCGAAAGTGTGAAATCTCCAGACAGCTTCAGGTCCCAATCTCCACGCCACGACACTTAGTATGCTCGGAGTCTTCGCCCATCCATTAGGGAGTATGGGCGCCAAGATGGATATCGGCGAGCAGATTAAGCTTTCAATAGAGCCCTACAAGCTGCTTCAGCCGACCCCAAATCTCGAAAGATCTCAGCCAGCCACGTGGCTATGGGTGTAATACGAGGAAGATGGGTCCTGTCCTTTGAAGCATCAGAGCCACGGTTGGAGAGAGTGTTGATGTCAATATCAGAAACCCTCAAGCTGAGAAAAAAGCAAGGATACACATGCCATGGGGCCAGACGGGGAACAAAGCAGAAACGTAGATTTATGGTGAGCATGACACATTCCAACGATACATAATTTCGATTGAAGCCTTCTTTCCATTGCTTCAATGACCTCAGCTAGCAACATCTTTATCTGCACCTTCCGTGTCAGTTGAATTGTTCTCAACTTGGTACTGCAGACCTTTCTCGAGAACCCACTCTATCAGCGTATGGCTGCTATAGATTCTTCCCAGGAATATTTAACTACGAGGTTTGTGTTACCAACCAAGACAA